GCTGCTTCGATTGGGAAGGCTTGCGCATATTTTGAAAAATTGTCAATTATTGTTAAAAAATTCTTATTGTTAGCTTGATATACATCTAAGTGAACAATTTGGAATGGCATTTTAGCTGTCGGGGTAATCTCAAATTCAATTCTAGGTGGATGTCTTTCATATTTACCTCGCTGGCAAATATCGCAAGTATTGACGTATAACTTCACGTCATCATCAATGTGGGGCCAATAATACTTTCTTTTAATTTGGTTAACTGTCTCAACGATTCCTCGGTGATTAGTTTTGGTTTCGTGATTATACCTCATGATTTCCTCTTGTCTCAAAACGTCAGTAATATTTTCAAGCTTTTTACTGCACTTAACTAATTTGAACGCAGAATTTTTGAATGTATTAGATACAAGGTGCGCGAGATTTTTATACATTTCGTCGTTATGATTATCTTCAAAATAAAATGCATAAGTACTTTTTGGTACACCGTAGTCTTTGAGAAAGTGTATAATAGGAGTTAAATCATCATTAACAATATACAATGTGTATAGGAATTTCTTCGGATCCCATAAGGTTTGAAGTGTGAGTTTTCTGGGCATAATGGCTTTTCTAACAAAAATTTGGTACTTGAAAACATTGATAGGTTTTTCTACAGGGTTAATTTCTTTAATGGGGTTTTCATCGTCTGAGTGAATAGTTACGTTTTCAACTCGTTCACTCAAGTCTAGCAAATTGCGTACTGTTTGTTCATCACCTACATTATTTTCTATAGACGTTTGGTCATCTGCAGGTTTTTCGGAAAAGTCTTTATTGAAGGTTTTCATGTATCGGATAAATGGGGACTCTTCTTCATCTTGGATTTGTGATGTAGAAGGTTGTGGGTCAGTTTCGGTAGCGTGAATTTGAATACGAGAAAGTGCATCAGCATTTTTATTTTCTTTACCTTTTTTGTATATAACATCATACTCAAATTCGGATAATTTTAAGCGCCATCTTTGTAATCTAGAATTTGGTTCTCTTAAAGTCATTAACCACTGAAGCGGTTTGCAATCTGTTACAATTTTAAATTTTCGTCCAAAAAGATAATGTCTAAAATACTTAGTTCCATAAACTATTGCTAAACATTCTTTTTCTGTCGCACTGTAATTTTGTTCAGAATCATTTAATGTTCTAGACGCATAAGCTATTGGTTTGTCAGAGCCAATAGGGCCTTGAGAAAGTATAGCTGATACAGCAAAATTACTTGCATCGGTAGTCAATACGAAGGGCTTTTCAAAATCCGGATATTGTAATAATGGTTCATTTGTTAAAAGATTCTTACAATGTTCAAAAGCTTTGAGAAATTTTTCGTCATGTTTAATTTCTGCTCCTTTTTTCAAACATAGGGTGAAAGGGCGAGTGATTTTTGCAAAGTCCTTAATGAACTTACGATAATAACCAATCAAACCTAAAAACTGTTTAATTTCGCGGGTGGTTCTAGGCAATGGATATTTGAGAATGGCTTGAATTTTGTCGGGGTTTGGTTTTACTCCTTGCGATGTGACAATGTGACCAAGAAAAGCTGCTTCCTTTTTCAAAAATTCGGATTTGTCTAATTGAACTTTGAGGTTTGTCTCCCTTAATCTTTGGAAAACCTTTTTCAATGATACAATGTGTTCTTGTAAAGAAGTAGAATAAATTATGATGTCATCCATATACACCATAGTGTTATCTAGTCCTCGCAAGACATTATCCATAACTCGCTGAAATGTGCTTGGTGCTCCTTTAAGACCAAAACTCATACGAAGGTATTTGTAATGACCTCCATCATCACTAAACGCTGTTTTTTGAATATCTTCCGGGGCTATTTCAATTTGGTGGAAACCGCTAGCTAAATCCAAAGTTGTGAAATAATTACAACGACCTAATTTGTCTAAAATGTCAGAAATACATGGAATGGGGTAGCGATCATCTATGGTCTTTTCGTTAACCTTTCGATAGTCAACCACCATGCGCCATTTCTTTTTACCACTAGCATCAGGTTTTTTGGGAATGAGAAAAACTGGAGAATTCCAAGCTGAGCTACTGTGTCGAATAATATTCTGATCTAGAAGGGATCTAATTTGGCTTTGCATTTCGTTTTTGAGCATGTGTGGATAACGATACGATTTTGTATGAACAGGAATTTCATCTGTGGTCCTGATATGATGCTTAATTTGGTTTGTGAAAGTTAACGCATCGCCCTCGTAATAGAATACGTCTGAGTAGGTTTGACACAATTTTAGAATATGAGTTTTTTCTTCATTATTGAGATGAGATGTTCGTATCAGTTTATTGATATCACGTCGCAACGGAGAAGCTGATTCAGATGGTTTAATGATAGCGTGGAATAAAGCGTAATTGTTTGCGTCGAATGGAAATGAAACAATAGGCTCATACAAGGAAATTTCTTGATAAGTGTTACTTGGGTTTTCTAGGTCAACTAAGGCATAACCGTTTATAGCATGAGTAAGCGTTTCCTTGATTACACAATCTCTAATTTTGGAATTTGGAATCAAAATTTCTCCATTATAAGTATCGACAGGAATTTTGGCTTGGGCTGCCGTGTAGGGCTCAATTTCTATGAAAAATAACAGACGATTTTTCAAATCATGAAATTTGATTGGAATTTTGGCGTTTTTGGTATGCAAAATAGAATTTCTAAGGTCAATATGCGAATTTAGAAGTTTCAAAATATCTAAACCAATCAGACCATCAAAATACTTGTGAAATTTGAACAAATGAAATTTTATAGGCTCACTAACATTGAGTTCTGAGAAGGCAGGAATTTTAGCACAATAGTCTCTCTTCGAATGCTGAAAAACTGAAGTTACTTCGAATGGTTCTTTATAAATACATTTTGGAAAATGCAATTGTGCAAGATCAGGATTTAAAAATGATTTCGTTGCACCAGTATCAATAAGAAGCTTTAAAGGCGGATTTCTAATTTCAATATAAGGTAATTCTGTCTTGTCATAAATCGTGTTTAAGTATATTATGTCTCCTCTATCATGGGCACGGCCATCTGAAAATTTTGTTTTTCTTCATCAGGCTTTTGACCAGTTTCAGAAACATCATTTTGTGTCTCATCAGGGTTTTCGTAATATAGATCAGAACAGTCATACTGATTTTCACTATCCTGACAATATTCCGAGTAATAGTCATCGTAAGGATTGTTTACAAAATTTTGATCATAAGGATCACTCTCAACGTTATGTAATTCTTGAGAAGCAAAGTTCCTTGGGCCAGAAGGCCTAAAATAATTATTTTGGAAATTCTTATTTCTATTGATGCTACTAACACCACTCATAGGAGTAGGCCTGTAGGAAGGTCCCTGATTAGGCGGATTACGCCAAACATTAACATTAGGTCTATTGCCAAAAACTTGTGCGTTTGTTGGAAATTTTTGTGGAAGAGGATTTTGTCTAGGTTGAATCGGAACTGGTCCTCTTGGGAATTGAGGCTGATAATTGAAATTTTGCTGAGGCCTAAATTGATTCATAGGCTGCATTTGAGGCTTAAACAAATTTTGAAAATGTGGTTTGGATGGAAGGGCAGGCTGAGGTGGCTTTTTGAAATTTGAATGTGCACCAGCCTTTTGTAAATATCTAATGTTATTATCTTCTAAAATATAAGCTTGAGCTTCTGCCAAATTTTTAGGTTTCATCGACCGAATCATGGAACTTTGTGGCTCCTTTAAACCTACTAAAAGTGTATGCAATGCATGACTATCATACAGTGCCTTTTTACTTGTTTTAATAGCATCAACTGTTTCATGAATATTTATATAGTTATGCAAATGATTCAGCATGGTTACAACTCTAGAGTAAAACTGTAAGGAGCTTTCATTAGAATTTTGTCTAAGGGCAGTCATATCTGAAATAAGACTACTCTCGTTTCTTTGATCACCAAAATGAGCAATTAGCAAATTTTTTATGCTGTGCCAGTCGGTGGAACCGCTAAGAGAAAATACTTGCTCTGCAGCACCAGTCAATTTCGAGAAATGCCATGCAGCAGTATTTTGTTTTGGACACATACTGTATCGTCAGTGTTCCAATAGTTATTTAATAAATCTGTACTTATTTCTAAATATCTATATAGTCTACAGGGATTCCCATCAAATTCTGGGACAATTTCGAGTAATTTTATGTCGAACTGGGGGGGTACTATTTCTACTGGGGGTCGTCATTATTCTTTCTATAGTTTCGTTTGCTTGTCTTATTTCTCTACGTCCTAATTCTAAGCTTGCTATGCGATTAGCGATTTGATCTGCACTATCACCTTCGAAAGGATTTACAGGTCGGGGTGAGTCACTCATGAAAAATAAGGATACAATGAGCACTTACTGATAGGTCCAGTACTTCATCCCGTTCTTGGCCTAGGTTCCTCAGGTGGACGTTGACTTCAACAGGACAAAGGGCACTTGTGGTCCAAATTCTTTCTTCTTTCTTCAGTTGTACCGGCTCGTCACGGAGGTTCGTGATTCCCAATTAAGAGTTCGGACTCAAGGGCTAATCGGCGAAAATCCCTTTGGGAATGCTACTGCGGCTGCGCCAATTATGTAGTCGGAACTTCAAACTTCGTTTTTAAAAACTTTATTTGATTCCAACAATAGTTTACATGGACCGAACCGGAATTACAGTGTGTGTGTTCGCTGTGACTGAGATTGAATGACTGACTCATAATTAAGATACAATCGTTAATATAAACCAAAAGTGATGAGCTAGCAAAAAGGAATACAATGCAATTATTATATTAATTAATAAAGTGCTAAATGACGGCAACATAACTCGCGTTTTAAAATGAAACTTTGCTGCCGGAAAATTTAGTAAAAATTATTGTATTTTTGTTTCAGATACAATGGATCAGATATGCTATCGGATTTTGTTAAAGAACCGAGCAGAAAATTTGAGAACTTCTGTAGAATGGCACCAGAAGATTACAACTATCTAATGAATAAAATAGGCCCTATCATTGCAAAACAAGATACCCATATGAGAAAATGTATTCCAGTACAAGAACGGTTTGCAATTGCTCTCAGATTTTTAGCAACCGGAGATAGTTACACAAGCCTTTCATATCTTTTCAAAGTATCTATCCAAACAGTTTCAAGTTGTGTCACGGACGTTTGTAAAGCATTGATAAAAGAACTATCACAAGAAATAAAAGTAAGTAGTAGAATTAAGCATTTATTTTTTTCAAATCGTAAACAAATAGAAATTGACATCATCCATTTTAAACTAAATTACTACCCTCCTCTTCATAGAAATCTTTTAATAGACTTTGCGAAGCTGATGTTTCGACTTGCGACAGCTGTGGAGATGGATAGTTTGGGGATGGCTGTGGAGAAGATAATGAATGATAGGTTGGGGATGGCTGTGAAGAAGGCGATGGATGATAGGTTGGGGATGGCTGTGGAGAAGGCGATGGATGATAGTTTGGGGATGACTGTGAAGAAGGCGATGGATGATAGGTTGGGAATTGCTGTGGAGAAGGCGATGGATGATAGTTTGGGGATGACTGTGAAGAAGGCGATGGATGATAGGTTGGGGATTGCTGTGGAGAAGGATATGGATGGTAGGATGTGGATGGCTGATAGTAGAGATTGCCGGAATGTCCAAAACTCGTGGGCTGTGGTGGGTTGATTAGTATTTGTGCATGTGGGTTTGACGATAGTTATTTTTGCTTCAGATTGAAAATCAATCTATCAATTTCCAACATCGCTATTTCACGTGTATTTTCTGGTAAGCCTCTCAATTTTTGCACAATAATTGTGTGTATAATGAACATTCATCTTGCGGATTTGGGGTTTTGAGTCATTTGTTTTATATAGTCGTATGCCTTCGTTCATTTTATTTTCTATATCAATATTTTTAGCACGTTTTTTTAGGAAGAGGTTTTGGTCTTTAAATTGAACTGATTCTTCATCATCCTGTTTACTATCTTCAGAGGCATCTAAATCACGGTTATCTTCTATTCTTCTATGTCGTCAGTGACCTAAAAATAAGAAATATTCATGATAATTTACAATATTTCTATTTGTTTTAGCTGCCACGGACATCATCTGACTGGTTAAGGATAGAGACAGGATTCCGCAGAACTTGGAATTTTCCTCACTGCTTAGGAGCTATCGACGGAAACATGTGCTAATACAAAGTCCTATTCATAGTGGATCTGAGTTTATCAACTATCACAAAACATTCAGTGTTGTATTAATGGCTTTAGTCGACGCGGATTACAATTTTATTTTTTGTGGATTGTGGGTGCCAGGGCCGAATAAGCGATGGTGGTGTATACAGAAACACCAACTTATATAAACAAATCTGTAGAAAGGAATTGGGTTTTCCACCGCCAGACTGCTTACCGCTGAAAGTAACACCTCTACCTTACGTATTTGTTGCAGACAGTGCATTTGCTCTAACGGAAA